TAAATGTATCTCAAGGAGGGGCTCAAAAATGTGGTGTTTGCCACCACATTTTCTCCTTTATCTTAACAGTTACAAAGAAGTATCAGTAAATATTGGCATATTTTATCTGGTGACCCTTCCACAGGTTATTTGTTCAATAATATATCAATTTGTGCTAAAAACCTGAGAGAAATACTAGCCAGGGCTCATTGTCATAATTCTTTATCCTTCTGCTTTTCTGCTGTACCAGGAGATAATAACCCCATGTCTAAACTGGGAAGCTATGATATAAGCGGATACCTTTTGTGCACTGATATTTGATATTGAATATATGTTTTTGTCATTTAGCTGCAGAATATTTATGGGTTTTTTCAACATCTGTTAACTTCAGTGTTAACTTTCTGCCTACATTTTTACACATTTATTTTTCCTATGTCTAGTGATTTTAACATCATAGATTATGTGTGTATATTGATATTGTCCTAATACTATTTTTCAAAATCTGTATTTTTGTATGTTGTGCTGGTTTTATTTTATAATTAGAGCTCTGATTTCTGAATGTTACAGGAATCTAACCTGACTTATTGTGACTGTTGTCTGTATTAGGCTACCCTGATTATGACTTATTGCTGAAATATTTCTGCCATTAATAAATTAATTAATTAATTAATATAAAGAACTTTCTACTTTTTTGCTGGCATCTTATCCCTTTTCTATTGGCCAATATTTATCTTCAATTCATCCCATTAATCCCATTGATCCCATTAGTGCCCCCTGCAAACCTGAAAAGGATAAGCTGAAGCGAATGGATGGATCAACAGTAGCAACTAAAAGCATTACAAGGTAGTGTAGTGCACTTTGAAAATGTATAACATTCATATGCATAACTCCATATGTACAGGCTGCAGCTGGTAAAGATTAAAGTTATGCCACAGTTAAGGTGTGTGCAAAGTGAGAAACATTTAAAACAAGTGACAATTTTAACAACACTCTAGTTTTTTTACACAGGTTTACTCATCCAGCACACTCACAATCTCAAAACACTGTTTTTTAAGATACACACAACCCTGAGGCTAAACTCACATCTGTGTGGTTAGCTGACAGCTCACTCAATTTTCTGTGAAAACAAGCCAACACAAAAACAAAAGCAAAAATCTGTACAGACAGAGGAAGCCTGACATAAGCCTTACTTTATGTTACTGTCCTTGTTTGGAGCTTATAATGATTCACAAGATGTGAGAGGGAACTGGAAATTACATTTATATATATTTTTTCCATTAACCTCACACACATCCACGTCATTATCATGATGATGATGATGATGTTGATGTGGTAAAATTAAACATTACAGCCTGTACTGAAATAATGAAACCTGACCTGGTTTCAGGCTTATAATTCTGCTCTTTGAGGCGTTATATCATGCTCATAAACTTTGAACTATACGTGTTTTTGGCAAAAGTGAAACAGAGGCTCACTCTTAAATCTTTAGCCCTTGAAGCTCTTTGCTGAACTGAGTGCTTTCAGACCTGCTTATGGAACAGAATAACTGGACGTTGGTGAGGGTGGACTCTGCCAGTGCAGCAACCCAGGAACTTTTCTAATGGCCGTCAAACCACGTCTTTATCGGCATACACCAAAGTGTCAAAACTCATCATTAAAGGTACAACAGAGGTAATCAAATCTAATCTTTGTGGGTTGATAGAGTTGAGTTTATCATCATGCTCTAGCCATCCCATGTAGGCAAAATAATTCTTAAGAATCCACATTGGACTTTAACATTAAACGCAATGATTTACACTCAATAAACACTGTGTAAGGCATTTAAAAATGCAGCAATAGAGAAGAGGAGAAAAGCCTACTACTCTTCCTAGCACTGAGCTTTCAGCCTGACATCCACCAACAGTTAAAGCATCAGATTTTCTGTTTACCATCACATCGCAAAGAGCCAAGTTCTGACCTTTACTGTAATTGCTAAACTGCCTGATCATCAAACTTACTATCTACATCTTGCTGTTTTCAGCCTGTTTCAATATGGCGTAGCTACCGTGTAGCCACCTATTAATTCAACTTCCCATTTCTGAGTGGCTTGTCTATCTCCCTGCCCTAAAAATACCCAGCTTTATCTTCATTTTTGAGTGACTGAGGAGGAAGCATAGGGTAATTTTCCATAGGGTACTTCCGTGCAGGCTTCACTTTTAAGATCCAGAAGCTTTACATCCATCTTTTAAATACTATATGACATGAAAGTGAAGATAATTTTTAATGGAGGTGTACAGCAAGTTCCAAATTCACTGAATTTCAATGTTGGTTTTTGACTAAAAAAGCATCTTACAGTGCAAATGCACCTGCTCAGAATGTTCCAAATAATTTAATCTTATCTGTAACTATGTGGTGGCCGAGTTGGTCGGTAAATGTGTGGATATAATGAATTTCACGTTAAGAAAAACCATTAAAAACTGAAAGGAATAAACATGGGACACAGTTTGAATATTCAGTCACCTTCTGTTGAACAAGTGGACATTCATGTCGACTGGTGAAGACAACATCATCTTCCTCTCCTAGAGCATCCTCCTCTGCTCCCAGAGCATGAGATTCTGCTTTCTGTGAGGTGAAGGGGGAAATGTTTAATTATAACCCGAATATGGAATTATGGGTTTGAAAAGAGGAACAAGCATGAGACACAGGCGCTCACATGTCTCGTTTGAGAGATGTTCCAGCTGCCTCCAGGAAGTTCTGACGTTGTTTCCTCTTGCTGCATCACCTGACAGGCAGCCAGTCTGAGTCTGACCTGCCTCATGCCTTCAGCAGACTGGAAAAGTGTGGAAATAAATACAAATCCAGATTAATCAGTGTCACATTGCGTGAAGTCACACAAGGAACAGTGGAATCATTCTGCAATCCAAGAACAGCAAACTTTACACACTGCAAAATATAAACAATCAGACACAATAAAAAATAAAGAAAAAGAACATATACAGATAACAAGGTCTCAACAAATAGATGGACGTTTGAGGCAGATACTGCAAACTTCAAATAAATTTCATTTAAATTCAATGATAATACTTTTAAAACATATTTTAAAAACTTTAAATAACTTTAAAGGCTGGTTAATGAATCCTATAAAGAAGATGACTATCAGTTTACAAGTGGAATGAAAACTCGATGCACCCCTGGTGGACAATAAACAATGCAGACACTCTTTGTAAATATCTACATTATATTAAATTTTTCAGCCACACCTTACCCACACACACGTCATTATCATGATCAACATGTCATTAAAGACAAAAGAAATATACAGGTTTAAGAGCTTCTTATAATCAGGAAAGACTCCAGAAAGCAACCTCTGGGGCCTACAAATGAAGCCACAAACTGCACTTCTTCTAAAGGCCATTTGAGGCTTGATGCGAAAGATCGTCAGTCTCAATAGACTCACATGTTATATGAGCACATTTACAGTTTTGGTCTCTATGGATACTTGCCCCCTTTAATGACACCTGTATGGTGGGTGACCATTTTATAATTCATCAGCTTGGATTTTGTTAAGCCTTAAAGTTAGGGTGTCATCCTGTGACTGGCAGGAGGTCCTAAATACGCAGCCGTGGCCAATCAGTGTCTGCTAGGCCTCAGCTTCACCTACTTGAAGTAACTGAACTCAACCATTTCGCCATTTTTAGTGCATTCTAGAACATTTTAATGTATATATCTGAAAAATGTTACAATGCATCCAAGAAGTCTGTGCTTCAGTTTTGGTGAGTGAGTTTCTTGTATTTTATTAGTGTGATAATAAGCAGGTGAGCTGCACCCATACAGTTTATGGATGTACTGTGAAAACCAAGATTGCTATTGCCGGGTGAAAACCAATGAGTGCTGGATTTTTTGAGGCCGGACTGTCTCAGCCTGTACATGCGCAATACATCAAGTTCTTTCTCATTAAACTGGGAAAATAATTTCTTCATGGCCACAAGTGTGTGACCAGGATGATCACTGCATCCTACCCTTAAAACCAACTAGGGTGGGTGGGTGCACGCATTGTACCTGTAATTATT